GAGGTGAACCCAGGAAGTAGTGTTGCTATTATAATAGTGAGACCTAAAAAACTATTGCCTCTGAAGAACTAAAGATGAATATCACACAAACAGTATTGGAGAAGCACCAGGTAGGCCTCAATAGGCTGCTACATATAACCAATGAAGAATTCCAAAGAAGAATAAATTAAGGGATGTCATTTAGGAATTATATGATGGGAAGGGAGAAGGGCTGGTCATAGTCAACAGCATGGAATAACTAGAGGACAACTGGATCGTCTCCATTGGTACCCTTGAAATATTGGAGAAATGAAGGAAGTCTACCTTCATGCTAGTTGAAACCCTTTTGTTGAACTTTGAGTAGTACATGGACAAGAGTTAAACAGGATGGGCAGCCATGGATGGGTTGTGATCTGATTGGCAGGGACTCCTGAGCAGAGAAGATCACAGATCTATTTATGCATTTGAGGACAAGGACTTTGTCTTAGTCATCATCTACTACAGAGCAAAACAGAGTCAAGACTCCTGTAAACTTGATAAATATGAGTTGGTTGATTAATTTATGTGAAGGGCATCATTTGGGAACTGTTTGGTCTTTCTCACTTTGTTTTTGTTCAGTCATTTCAGTTGTATCCTACTCTTTGTGACCTCATGTGGGGGTGTTCTTGGCAAAGATACTGGAGTGATTTGCCATTTCCTTCTCCTGCTCATTTTACAGATGAGGAAACTGAGGCAAACAGGGTTAAGTGACTTGCCTAGGGTCACACAGCTAGTAAGTATCTGAGGCTGGATTTGAACTCAGGAAGATGAGTCTTCCTGACTTCAGGACTGACATTATCTTCTGTTCCACCCTTTCCACTTCTGCCAAGTTCTAATAGAATTGTAAATATAATGGAAGCTGAGTAGCACCCTTTGTAAAATGAGAAGCCTGGATGAAAGGAGCTCTGCTAAGGTCCCTTCCAATAATGAAGCAACTGGTATGATGGTCTTAGAGTTGCTTGGAGGACCTGAGTTTGATTTTGTGCTCAGGTACCTCAAAGGAACCTCTTTGACCTTTAAGTTTCCTCATCTGCAAAACTAGATAATAGTAACTACCTAAAAGGTTTGTAATAGCGATCAAATAATATAGTGTAGAGTAGGTAAAGTATTTGCCAAACAGATTGTCCCCCAGTGGATGGCACTGTAGAGCTACAGAAAATAGCCAGAAGCCAAGTAAAAGTGTATGTGTGTGTGTGGGGGGAAGTGAATTTGGAAGTCAATACTTTTCTTTTTTAAATGTCTTATTGATGCTCTCTTAAAACAACAACAACAACAACAACAACGAATAAATCAGTCACTTCCTATTTGCCCCCCTGGTTCCTAGTAGAATAAATAAGTACAGTCAAGAAAAACAAATCAACACACTCAACCTTTCTCTGATGCTTAAATCTTTCTTTTCCATTTAGGCAAGAATTTTCCTTTTCTGAATATTGTGAAGTAGGACCAGCCTTCCGCTGTCTATCTGAGTGGTAAGGGATAGTAGAAAATTATTGAATTTGAAGTTGGAGAAACTGAGTTAGAATCCAATTCTGCCCCTTATGTATCATCTAATCTTGGGCAAATCATTTACTTTTCTGGCCTCATATACAAAACAAAGGGGTTAGACTACGTGGCCCTGAAAGTCTCTACTACCTCTAAATTTTTTGTTATTTCTTGGTGCATTTTGGGAGATAACAAAAGCTTTCAAGCTCTGCTCTTGGGAAGGCTTTGAAAAAAATCTTTCACTTTTAATATTAGTTCCTGTGTTCCATCTTCTACTCATCCCCCTATCAACCTCTCAGCCCAGACATTCTCTGTGACGTTGGGGAAGAGACAACCCTCTGGTTGTCTCAAATATTGAGACTCAACTCAACTGAACTCAAATATTGCTACCTGGTTCGATGCTCCCTAGCAGGTCTAACATCAAGACATGCCTTCTCAGCCTCCTTTACTGGATCTTCACCCAGATTAAGCTCACTTATCCTAGCTGTCCTCCAAGGCTCTGTCCTGGACCCCTGTATCACCTAGCTGCCTCTTGGACATTTCAAACTAGATGTCCTGTAGGCATCTCAAACTCAACATATTCAAAACAGAACTCGTTATCCTTCTCCCCAAACATTCCCCTCTGCCCAACTTTTTTTTTTTCTAACCGTGCAGGGAACAACCATCCTCCCATTCACCTAGGGCCAAAACCTCATGTCATTCTAGACTCCTCATTCTCACTCACTCACATATTGAAGCCATTGCCAAGTCTTGTTTCTACCTTCACAACATCTTTTGTACACAGCCTCCTCTCTGCTCACATTGCCCCCAACCCTAGTAGAGGCTCTCATTACCTCTTGGCCTGATTATTGCAATAGCCATCTAACTAGCCTCCCTGCCTCAAGGATCTCCCCACTCCAGTCCAGCCATCACTTAGCTGCCACGCTGAAATCTCAGAAGTATGAGTATTACAGTATCAACCACCCTCCCTCCTTAATAATTTCCAGTGGCTACCTGTTACCTCCAGGATCAAATAAGTACTCTTTTTGGCATTTGACCTTCATAGCCTGGTCCCTACCTACTTACCCTTCCAGTCTTCTTACACTTTACTCCATTCTATAAACTCTTTAATCCAACAACAACTGAACCACTTGCCATTCTTAACAATCTCCGATGCCTTCCAAGTGGCTGTCTATGCCCGAAAGGCTCCCTTTCCTCATATCTACCGCCAAGCTTTCTTCAAGATTCACCTCAAATCTCACCTTTTTTGTAGGAGACCTTTTCCAGTTCTCCCCAAGACTTGAAAATACCTTCAATTTATGCTGGATAGACCATGCATAGGGGCAGCTAGGTGACACAGTGGATAGAGCTCTGACTTGGAATCAGGAAGACTCATCTTCATGAGTTTGAATCTCACCTCAGAACTTGCTAGTCATGTGACCCTGGGAAAATCACTTAACCCTATTTGCCTCAGTTTCCCTGTCTGTAAAATGAAGTTGAAGAAAGAAAAGCAAACTACTCCAGTATCTTTGCTAAGCAAACCCCACAGGGGGTCACAGAGTTGGATATGACTGAAAACAACAGCAATAACAACAACAAAAGATTTTTTGTGTGTGTATAATTATTTGCATATTGTCTCCCCAACTAGAATACAAGCTCCCTGAGCTCTTCGGCCTTTCTTTGTATACCCAGCATTTAGTGCTCTTCTTAGGAATGTGGTAAGTGCTTAATAAATGCTTGTTGATACAACTATCCTCTTTTTTTTTGCCAAGGATCGGCCAAAGGCAGCATCCATTTCATACTTGGGAATTAGTTTTCCTCAGATCCTGGGGGATGGGGAAATGTGTAAGAAAGTAGCCCACATAGGGCCCTGGAGCCCAAATAAAAAATAATAGAAGATAGAGAACTAAGGGACCATAGAGGAAAAACAAACTTCCATCTCTTGACACCCCCAGAAGCTCTCTGGCATACCTTGAGGAAAAGAGATTAACCACCCAACCTGCACACCCCACCCTCCATGAAAAGGCTCCCAAGAAGAGTCAGAGCCATCCAATCACATCCCCTGCTACCTTTTAGGCTCTCCTTCTTCTGTCTTCTCAGAGTCAGGAATTGCTACTGCTTTATGGATCTAGGTGGACTGATTTTTCAAGAGTCATGGTTGAATTTTTGTTTCAGCCATACTGCTCCAGCTCTTTGGACAGGGTTAAGAGCAGTATTTGATTTAATTCCGTCAACAAAAGGACACAAGGATGAAAAACATGACACAGTCCCTACTCTCAAAGAGTTCACAATTTAATGTGTGTATGGGGGGGGGCAGGTGATACAATGCATACTCAAACGTGACAAAAAGTAGCATGTGGCTTGGGCAGATCCATTTAGGCAAAGCCTTAAGGGGAGATCAGAGAATGCTTCATGAAGGAGGTGACATTCCATGAAGGAATAAAGGTAAAAACTTGGATCTTTGAGCTGCAGGAGACCTTAGAAATCCTCTAATCAAACCCCCTTATTTTACAAAGGAAGAAACTGATTTATCTAAGGTCTCACAGGAAGTTACTACAGTCCAGGTCTCCTGATTTCCAGTCCAGGGCTGGCCCCAAGACACTGTGACTGCTTCTCTATCACCTCTCCACTTCAACTTTCAACTCCAGAAAGATAAGAATTAGCTCTTTTCTCTCTGGACCCAATCAAATGAGTGGCTAACTAAAAAGGACCAGTGCCAGTGGGGATTGTGGGAAGGGCCTAGGTCCACAGGGGTGGGGAACAAGGGGTTTGGCCATGAGGCCAAAAGTTCCCCACCTCTGGCTAGGAAGTGGAGGCAAGAAGGAGCATTATATTGGGGGTTGGGAGATCTGGGTTCAAGAGGCCTTTCCTATTTCCCCCATTTATTAGCGCCTCCCTTCAATTACTTCAGTCAGTCAATAAGCACAAATTAAGTATTTACTATGTGCCAGGTACTATATAAGTGCTGAGGATACAAAAAAAAGAGCAAATCAAAGAGCTTACATCCTAATGGAGAAAACATGCAAATAACTTGGTACCTTCAAAATATAGAGAGTTTTCCTCTGAGAGGGGAAGACATTAGAACCTGGGAGGAACTGGGAAAGGTCTTCTGCAGAAAACAGGATTTGAACTGAGTCTTGAAGGAAGCCAACAAAGTCAAGAGGGGAAAATGAGAGCATTCTAGGCCTGGAAGACAGTCAATGTAGAGGCATGAAAAGAGTAGATGGAATATATGAGGAACTGCAAGTAGGTCAATACCACTGGAGTATAGAGTTTGTGGACAAGAATAAAGTGTAAGAAGACTAGAAAGGTAGGAACCGACCAGGTCATAAAGGGCTTCAAATGCCAGAGAATTTTATTTATTTTATTGATCCTTGAGGTAATAAGGGGCTACTGAAGCTCAGTGAGCAGGGGAGTGACATATGGTCATATCTATATTTTATTTTTAATTTAATTTAATTTTTTTTTTTTGCTGAGGCAATCAGGGTTAAGTGACTTGCCCATGGTCACACAGCTAGTAAGTGCCAAATGTTTGAGGTCAGATTTTAACTCAGGTCCTCCTCACTCCAAAACCAGAGCTCTAGCTACTGTGCCACTTAGCCGCCTTACATATCTATATTTTAGAAAAATGGTCTTATCTATACTTTAGAAAAATCATCCTAGCAGCTAAAGAGAGGATGAATTGGAATAGGGAAAGACTTAGTAAGGGAGACCAGTTGAAACGTTATTTTGATAATCAAGGCAAGAGGAGATACTATACTAGAGTGGTGCCAGTGTGAATAGAGAGAAAAGGATACGTACAAGAAATGTGAAGATAGAAACAAGATTTGGCAATGGATTCAATACATGGGATGAGTGAGAGAGGAGTTGAGGCTGCCACTAAGTTGGGTGGGGGATGGTTGGGGGAAGGATAATGAGTTCTGTTTTGGACATGTTGAAGTTGAGATGTCTACAGGACATACAATTGGAGATGTCCAATAGGCGATGTAGCTGGGGAAAGAGACTAGGGCTGTATATACAGATCTGGGAATCATTATCTCGAAGGTGATCATTGACCTCATGGGAGGTGATGAGATCACCGAGTGAGGTAATATAGATCAAAAATGAAAGGGGAGCCAGGATGGAGCCTTGAGGGATACACACAGTGACATGCCATGGATTAAAAACAAGCAGAGGTAACAGAGGAGTGGTCAGACGGGTAGTGAATAGCATCACAAAAGCCTAGAGAAGACACTGTATCCAAGAGGAGAGAATAGAGGTCAAGAAGGATGAAGACTGAGAGGAGGGTGTTCAATTTGGAAAAGAAGAGATTGGTAACTTGGGAGTGGACAGTTTTAATTGAATAATAAGTCTGGAAGACAAACTGCAGAGATTTTAGAAGAGCGAGAGTGAGAGGAGAAAAAATGGAAAAACTGCATGTAGATTGCAAGTGGTTTTCTCAAGGAGTTAGCCATGAAAGAGCTTTAAAAGCATAAAATGGCATGAACACTTTTGGAATATCCTGTATAAGATGACTAGCCAGGTATGGTAAGATCAAGTGTGAGGGTTTGGTGGTTTTGTTTTTTTAAAGGAATGAGGGAAAGATGGACTTTTTTTTTTTAAAGGAACCCATAGATAGAGATTGGAGCTAAAGATGAGAAGGGGGAAACAATCTTGTATTTGTTTTGTATATAATTGGTATTTATTTATCTGTGTACATGTTCCCTTGATACACTGCCCCTGCTTCAGAACAAAAGCTCCTTAACAGTGGAGACAATTTTACTCCTTTCTTTATAGCTCCAACGCCTAGCACAGACACAGTGCCTGGCACACAGTAGATGTTGATTGGTCATTTTCGTTGTGTCTGATTCTTCATGACCCCATTTGGGGTTTTCCTGGCAAAGATACTAGAGTGGTTTACCATTTCCTTCTCCAGCTCATTTTACAGATGAGGAAACTGGGGCAAACAAGGTTAAGTGACTTGCCCAGGGTCACACGGCCAGTAGGTGTCTGAGGTTAGATTTGAACCCAAGTTTTCCTGACTCCAGACCTAGGCCTCTATCCATTATACCACATACGTAGCGTGGTACAAAGGAGGAGTGCTAGCTTTCCAGGTAGAGGCCCTGGTTCAAATTTCATCTGGGTTATTTATTCAGTTTGTGACTTTGGGCAGGTCAATCTTTTCTGAACTCATTATCCCTTTCTGTCAAATAAGTCAATGGAGTACATGACTTCCTGAGGACATTCCTTCCATTGAGTTGGCTTGAGATATGGGGGGAGTGGGGAGGGAATGAGTATTTAAACAGCTCCTACTATGTATCAGACATTGTCCTAAGCCCTTTGCAAATATCTCATTTGATCTTCACAACAACCCTGGGATGTAGGTGTTATTATTATCCCCATTTTACTGTTGAGGAAACTGAGGCAAACAGAGGTGAAGTGACTTGCCCAGTATCACCCAGCTAGTAAGTGTCTGAGGTCACATTTGAACTCAGTTCTTCCTAACTCCAGGCCCCAAGGGTCTCTCCACTGTGCCACCAGCTGCCTTCTAGGTTTGGCAGCACTGTAACTCTACCTTTAAATGTGAATTTGGGTAAGTTGCATGTGTTCTCAGTTTTATTTTCTTCACCAATCAAATAGCATCACAGTGTTTAGAGCTGGGAGGGATTTTAATCCAACCCTTTCATTTTACTGATGAGGAAATTGAGAGCAGAGGAAGGGAAATGACTTGTGTAAAGTCACATAGCCAGCAGAATTTTAATTTAGCAGTGCTAAATTTCTACCCTAATCCAGTGTTCTTTTTCTTCTGTATCAGGCAGTCTCCTAGGGATTCCTGCCCTATAAGACATTGAATGAAAACAAAAGGTATGCAAGGGATACGGTATATAAATATGAAATTATATACAATTCTTTACATAAATTTAAATGCATGTGTCACTGGCACCAACAGATCCTGCAAAAGAGCTGAAATCTATTGGAAAAAGACCTTAAATCAATTTGTGCCTTCCAGTCCTCCCGGCAGTGGGTCGGTGGGAGAAAGGAGGTGAGGGAAAGGAGGAGGGAGTTTTTCATTTTGGACCCAGTCTTTAGCCCTATCCCAGAGAAGCCGACCCAGCCTAGGCCAGAGGACTCCTGGACTGACTGCGCACGCATTACTTCTGGAGAGCTGGGTCACTGAGGAACCATCTCAACACATTTGGGCTCTCCCTCTACCTTCAAACTCTAGAAACGGCTAAGTATGCATATGTATACCTCCTCATTGCTCCCATTGTATTCCCAGGCAGTTAAGCTTTCTCAGTTTTCTGCACTGAGTTGAGTAGCAACACAGATAACCCAAACTATGGAGAACTTATTTCTACTTGGTTTTGTGATAGGATTCTTCCTGCTGGATTCACCAAAAGTGGTCTCTCCCACTTCATTCCGCTGGGTTTCTGGCGGTGGATTTGCCTTCTCTGAACTCAACAAGGATTGATAGTGCTTAGCAGGGTACCTCAACACAGAAATGGATTGAGAAGTGGGAAGAAGGAATGATCCAGAGGAGAGATATCTACCCATCGACAAGCAGGAGCTGTCAGAACAAATCAGCACCATTAGGCAGGTCTAAACCAATACTAGACCTAACCTTCGGTCCTCCTTTCGCTCTTTTTCTCCCTTGTCCTCTTCTTGCCTCCCTCTCTACTCTCTCTCCCTCTGTTTTCTCTCTGTCCCTTTCTTTCCTCTCACTTTCTATCCTTTTTCCCCCCTTGGCTCTTTTCCTTCCGTCACTTTCGGTCTCTCCCTCTTTTTCCCCTCTCTCTCCTGGGGCGGGAGGGCGGGGAGGGAAAGGGGGGAACCTAATTCCTGGGCGTACAGCCAGCCTCAGGGCGCTGCCATTGGTCGGTTTGCTCGGCTGGGCCAGCCTCTCTGCGTTCCCATTGGACGGCCTCCCTAGCCCAGCCCTGTTTTCCTGGAAAGTTCTTGGAAATCTATCAAAGGTATTTCCTTTCACCGACTCTGGTTAACTGCGGGCCAAGGACTCCCAGCCCAGCCTAGAGCTACGCCTGAAATGCTCCAATGGCTTTAGCCACTGGGTCCTGGGGAATCGACCAACTCTTTCTTTCCTTGACATTCTCTTTGCTTTACTCCTTCCCTCCCTCTCCTCTCGGACCGTGTGTGCTCAACAAGGTCCCCTGCAGAGCCTGCCCCTCACTGTGGGGCCATAGTCCCCGGGGACAGCTCGACAGCCTGCCATCGTGGGTCTCCCTGTCCACAAGGACTCTATTTATACAACAAAGTATCTCTCTCTCTTTTTTTTTTCTATCGGTCTGAACAGTGATGTGAATACAATATAATTCCCGGAATCCACCGCTTCCTGGAATAGATTAAAAGAGGCAAACAAAAGATTAGTCAGTGGTGCGTTTCCCCCTCCCCCTTCCTCCCCCTTCCTCCTCCTCCCTCCTCCTTCCTCCTCCC